ACAGAAAACCACGGTCCTGACGGCACCGAGAACAAACTGAAACCATTTCCAGATGAAGCATTTCATGGTTTAACTACCGATGACGATGACACGACAGAAGCGCGGAGAAGACGCCATTATTTAAATGCAGGAGACACGTTTAAATTATGCTAATGTGCTTGAACTTGTCTATCATTTCTCTCTGACACAGGTAGAGATTCGGGATCGGGAGCGGAGGGGAGGGCGTGCTGGGCTGTTTCTTTGCCTAGAGACTGCAAATGGCCTTGCACTGAAGGGGGCGCAGGGGCCGCCCGGTGACTTTGGACGGCCAGCTCAGCCTGAGCAAGCCGGACCGTGCTCTGTGCTAAGCTTCGGAACTGGCCTCACGGTCCCCAACGTCAGCACCTACACGGGAGCCCGCAGGCCCGCACCCGGGGCCCTCCCGCCGCGCACCATCCTGCCAGGAGCCGGCCTCGGGCCTGCCGGGTGCATTCCCGGGGGTCTGACCGGTGGCGTCTGTGGTTCTGCTACCTCCCGGCGCTGTGATCCTTAATGTCCTGACTGGAGGCCCCTGGGGGAGGCCCACACAGCCCCCGCAGCGGCCGGCACAGGTGGGGTCTTCTCCCCGCCCGTCAGTGAAACTGGTGTGGGAGAGTCGTCCACTTCTCAGAAAGTCCGGGTGCCCTCCGGCCCCCCTCTCAGAGACGCACCCTTCCATTGGGTAAAGATGGAACAACAAAACCATTTGCTGGCAGCACAGACATTGCAGCAGCCTCAGGGGACCAGCTGCCCAGACGCATCTTGAATGAGCTTCGGGTTGACACGGTGGCTCGCGGAGCTGGTGCCCGGGACGCAGCTGGTGCCCTCGCGCTGCATCTCACGCGCCAGCACTAAAACCCACTTTCCTGGAAACCTACGTTTTTCTCCTCACAACCCGCCCCCTGGCGGGGCGTGAGCCCCGCGCCGCCCGCAGGCCCAGCCGGCTCGGGGTCCGCGGGACACTGGGCCGGGCCCGCGACCGCGTCGGGGTCACAGCGGCGGCGGCATCGGGGGCTTCCCGGAAGGAGGGTTTTGGGCAGTTTCGGCCTTGTTTCTCTCGGGACAAGCTGCTGTCTGTTTCCTGCAAAATACAGCGCTTCTCATTTCACCCTCAGCCAGCGGCAGTTTTGAACGCTGCGGCGTCAAGAGGCAGAGGCGCTTATCTGAAAGCCGGGCCCGCTGCCGCCCGCGTCAGGCGCGTCTAGAAACCAGCCTCGGGAGGGCGCGCGGCCCCGGGGCAGGTCTGGGGGTCGGTCTCGGGCCTCCCTTCCTGCACTGGCCACGGAGGGTGTGGGGGGACGGCGGGTGCCCTCCCAACCCCAAAGGCGCAGGCGGGGGCGGGTCACCCACAGGCCTGCGGCCCGGCCCTCCCCTCGCGTCCTGCCCTCCCCCTGCCTTCAGGCCGCAGACATCACCGTCAAGAAACCCTTTTTTCCTCCCAAATCCCAAAATATTGTCATCGTAACTGTGATCAACAACACAGTCACAAAGCAGCAAGGACACACCGCGGCCCTGCGCCTGCCCCAGCCTCCGGAGAGGCCCGGCCCCTGCACGCCCGTGCACGTGTGCACGCACACACACACACACACACACACACACAGCCCCACTCCCTCGAGCCTTTGAGCTTCCTGCTCCTCCGTCTTCCTCACTCTCAGAGCTGAGAAATGTCCTCTCCATTCCCCTCAAGACAAAGCTCCTGCTTGGCCTCCCAGGTAGGAGCAGACTGCAGGCGGCCAGTCGGGGCCCAGCCCCTGCCCCCACCCTCCCGTCTGCTGTGAGCCCCACGACCCAGGGCTTCCTGCAGCCCCTGAGGCCTCGCCGGTGGGGGGCGAGTCACATCTGATGCTCCCCGCAGAGGAGGGGCTCAGAGCTGTGTGCACGGGAGTCTGCGCTGGCCCTGTGCACAGCTGTGGGAGCAGAGATGGCCGGTGAGGGCGTGCAGGGGAGGCTGGGCGAGGGGAGGTGGGAAGGGATGGGGGAGAGGGGCCAAGTAGGGTGCACAGGAGAGATGAAGGGGCTTGCAGGGAGAGGGGACAGGGAGGGGGAGACAGGGGGGACAAGAGCAGGGAGGTGAGGGAGGTAGTGGGGGGTGGTCAGAGGGGTGGGGGCGGAGGGGGACTGGGAGGGGCAGCCGCTGAGGCCTTGGGGGCAGGCGAGTGTGGGGCCCTGGGGCAGAGCAGACCTGCTGGGAGCCTCGGAGCTCACTGCACCCCTCCTGGCACCCTCTCCAGGACGGGGCGTCCTGATCTGACCACTGGGTCTGGGCCGCCTGGGGATGGTGCCCCAGCGCTGTGTCCCACCCTGGATGTCACCCGGAGAACAGCATGGCCGTGAGGGCAGGCCCACCCGCCCTCGCGCACGCCTCTCACCAAGGGACAGGCCCTCCCCGTCCCAGGCCTTGTTCGAGGGCCGCTGACCCAACAGCCACAGAGAAAGGCAGGCGCTGGGGGACAGGGAGCAGTGCTGCGGCCAGTCAGGGGCCATTGGGCACCCCACTTCCTGAGACGCTGGCGTCCCTCTCCGAGGCGCTGCAAAGGTCACCTGGAGACACTGATTCCACGCTCGCCCCTGCACGGAGAACCGCCCCAGGCGAGCGGCGGGAGCAGCCCGGAGCCCAGGAGCCAGGCGCCCACCCGCCTCGCTGCCCTTGGTGGAGGAGAAGAGGCCCGACGGGCCTGACTGCACGGACCCCGGGAGCAGCGATTCTCGCTGGAGCAGTGGTTTGTCCTCGGCAGGAGCCACTGGCACTGCCACCAGGAGCGGCCCCCTCTGACAGGCTGAGTGCCGGTGCGGGCGGGCCCTCACCTGGGCACCCTCCAGGCGGCCTGTGACCAGCACGGTCAGCCCCTGCTGGGAATGCCCCGCGTCCGGAACCCGAAGCCCTCAGCACCAGCAAGCCTGGAAGATGGTATTGTCTGGGCCTCGGCCCGGAAGTCCAGAAAGACCAAAATCATGAACCTCAACTGAATGTCTGTGCGCGGGGTCCTCGGGCCCTCCCGGCCTGCGCTGTCCTCCCCTGGACGTGTGCCGGCTCTGGCCAGCTCGGGAAGGCACAGCTGGAGTCCCGCTGGGACCTGCGGCCTCCACTGGCTCAGCCTTCAGTGTCGGGGGGGAGCGGGGGGCGAGGGGGCCGGGGTCCTCACACGGCCGGCTCCCGCGGGGCCAGCGCCCACCACACAGGCCTCCTCGCGTGCGACGCTGGACGCTGGATGTCTGCAGCCTGGAAAGCGGCTCTGGGCTGAGAGGAGGCAGCCAGCGGTTTAGGGGGTGCATCGGGGGTAAGCGCGAGGTCGTGGGTCTGTGAGGCGTGAAAACAGTCAACCCCGCGGCCTCGTTGCGGAGCTCATGGGGAAAACGCCCCTTCGCGCCCCGCAGCTCACGACCTCTCACCTTAGCGAAGCCCACGGGGCTGGAACGCCTTTTGGCCGAAATGAAGTCAAGCCAGGAAACGATGAGCATCATCTGGGGCCTGTGGTGGTTCGTGACCTTTGCTGTGCTTTCCGTCAGATGATCTGGGACCTCTGGGGCCCGCTTTCCTGTGTCCTGACGGGGATTCACGTGCGCAGAGTGAGGGCCACCCCTTAAAGTGCAGAATCCGAGCGGCCGCCATTGTCCCCCATCGCCAGCCCCTGCCTGACCCCAGTGTCCCCGGCCCTGCAGGGCCCTCGCCTCCCCCGCCCTGGGCAGCACGGCTTCTGGACACTGTTTTAATCCAGTAAGTTCTCCAGGATTATGCCGGCTGCTTGGGCTGAGTTCCTGCCCACAGCCATTTTGGGGACCGTGGGGCCCGGTGCTCGCGGTCCTTGGGAGGAGAGGCAGGAGCATGTGCCAAGGCCGGGGGCCCGGTGGGCATCAGCACGCTTTGGGGAGCAGGCCTCCACGGCCCCACAGGGAGGTCACCCAGGGCTGCCCCTGGCTCCCAGCCCGGCCTGCGCTCAAGCAGCTTGGCGGGGGGGAGGGGAGGGCTTAGGCTCTGGGTCTGAAGGTGGGACATGCTCCTCTCCCCCATACTCCTCTGTGCCACCGAGGGCTGGGCCTCTGCAGCCCCAGAGGCGGCCGACTGACCACAAGTCTCCTGGGAGGGGGGTGGAGGGAGCCGGGGACACGGGGCGTGGGGCCCCAGCATCTGTGCTGACCTGGGCACAGCCCTGCAGGATGCCAGGAGGGCCCGGCCGGGCCGAGCCCCAGCAGTTGCAGCTCCACCGCCTCGTGCACAGAGCCCCGGAGACCCCGGCGACGCGTCGCTTACATCCCGGCCAGGAGTCTGGGCGTCCATGTGGCTACTTAAAAATAGTCATTTATTGAGTTGAAAGAGCTGACCATGTCCTTACATGCTGCTTCTCCTCTCTTCACCCGACTTGGTGTTGTGGGAAGAGTCCGTCCTTCCGGTGACGAGCGTGCGTTGAGCGCGTGCTGAGAGACTGCATTTTCTGGGCAGAGAGGAGACGGACAGCTTGGCCGGGGTCAGCGTCCACGTCGCCGGACACGCGCTAGACTCAAGAGCCACCAGGCTCCTGCGGGAGCTGTCCGTAGGAGCGGTGTCGGGGACTGGGGACACTGGGGGGACACTGGGGGACACTGGGGGCCGGGAGGGAGGACCCGGAGGAAGCAGCGGTCGACAGCACCCTCAGTCCCCGTGGTCCTCGAGGACAGAAGCGAGGAGTTTCTGTCCAAACTCCTCGCGGCCCTAACCGCCAGGGGGCGTCCGCGGGCTCGGCCCCACCCGGCCCACTTCCAGCCCCCTGCACCGCTCTCCGGACCACGGTCCCGTCTCACAGCAAATCCCACTGATCCTGCTTCGTCCATGCTGACGGTGCCGTTTCTCGGCCTGAGGAATTGTGTCCTCCCTTCCTGCCTCTCTGAAGGGTCAGCGTTCACGGGTCTTTCAGGTCTTAGGTCAAATCTCACCGCCTCCGAGAAGTCTTCCTGGGCCCACCCAACCCAGCCTCTGTCTCTGTCTCTGACCCCCCCACCCCCCGGCCATGTGCTCCTTCTCCAGTGGGAGGTCCATGCCTGTCACTGCTCTGAGGCTCTGGAGACACTGCGTGCAGGCCTGGGACACGCTCTCGTGGGACCCACCCGGTCATGTGGGCGCCCTCAGCGCCCTGCACACGGGGCCAGGAAAGGTCTGGCCACACGTCTCAGAGGTTTGCTTCCCTGATTCCAGGACCTCGTGTGTAAGCTTGAGCCACTGACGGCTCCTTGGGGACTCGCATGGCCAGTGCAAAGGGGCAGGTGCCCAGTGTCAGCAGTGACCCGGTCCTAGTGGCCTCCCGGGCCGTGGCCTGGACACCCTCTGTGCCTGGGGCGACCACATGGCAGAACCACCCTCCCCTGCGCTAGGGCGATGTCTATTGTTGGCAAGCGAGGGCCCAGCAGGCCGGGGAGTAGACAGGCGGCCTGAACTCCAGGCTGGAACGTTGTCCTCATGGATTTGACCCTCTTGGTGACAGGAACTGTCCCATGAAGCCCAGAAGCCACCCTCCGCGTACCTAGGCCAACGGGGACTCACTGACGCGCCCGAGGGGGTCACTTAGCGGCCACCCCACAAGGCGTTGCTGGAGGAACGAGACAACACACAGAAGCACTTGGTGCTGTGACTGGCGCCTGGCAGCAGCGGCACTCGGGGAGCCCCCAGCCCTCACCACGCGGCAGCTCATCACGCGGCTCCTCAGGCTGGCGGCAGCGGCCACGCTCCTCTCGCAGGTGGTTGAGACCAAGAGAGCACGAGGTGCTGAGGGGAGCAGGGACACAGGAAAGCAAATTCTACGTCTGCTCTCCCGAGCTGGCTGACCTCAGAAGACCTCTACGACTTCCAGAGCCTTCTGTTCCCGGGTCACATGGTCACTGGTTCTGAGCAGTGGACAGGACCCCCCCCAGTCTACAGTGTGACCCCAAAGGGGCGCCTTGGCCCTGCTTCTGAGCTTCTCCCTCCCCTCTCCCTCGCAGGGCCCGGTGGAAGGCCTGCCTCCCAAGGCCAAGGTTAAGGTCAAAGTGCCTCAAGCCATGGACGGTGCAAGACAGGAGGAGGCTGGAGGAAAGCTGGCTGCTGGGTCCACTCGGGGGTCTCTGAGCCTCATCCTGAAGGTTTCGGGGGAAGCGCATTGTGCAACATGCAAATGCCTGGTGCCGAGGCTGAACGGGAGCAAGGGAGGCCCCCCCAGCCACGCAGGAGCACACGAGACCTTCCGCCCTCTTGCCGAACCTGAGCTTGGAACGTCGGCGAGGTTCCGTGAGGCGAGAGTGAGAAGTTCTTTATGTAAAAGTTAACTTCGAAGTTCAGTATGTTTTAAAACCATGAGGCGAGACAGAAATAGCTCCAAAACCTTAGTATCTTGACCTAATTTCATTCTGTCACGATTACCCCAAGCCTTGTTTTCACTCTTTAATCATAATTCAAGCAGGTGGGAAGAATTACATTGAAGACGTGTCAGTGCGGGGACACCCCCGCCCCGGGCGGCCCGGCCGCTCGTCTGGGTGGGCCTGGGGGTGGCCAGCGCAACGCCTTAAAAAACGTGGTTCCGGGGCCTCCCCGGGGGCGCAGCGGTTGAGCGCTGGGTTGCGAAGCTGCCTGCAGCCTCTGCAGCGCCGGTTCGATCCCCGGCTGCTCCCCGGCTGCTCCCCGGCCCCCGGAGGAGGGTCCCGCATGGCGCGCAGACCTCTCCTGCCGCCCGCTGCTCCCCTCAGCAGTGTCCTTCGGTCCTTCTGCCTGCTCTGCTCCCCGCTCTGGCTCTGGTGGATTCTCTCACCCTCCCGCGCTTCTGACTGTACCCGGTGCTTGTGTAAATAAATAAATAATCTTTAAAAAAAAAAAAAAAAAGTGGTTCCGGTGCTGCCCGAGGAGGCCCTTGCTGGCCGATGTTTCTGGAAGCACCCGCTGTGATGTTTACTGACCTCAGGACAGCTTGCTCAGGACCCGCATGAGCCGTGAGCAGACGGTGCCAGTCTGGACGTGGCGCTGCCGATCAGAAGGCTTCTGGTGTTCACCTGGAGGGTCGGTGTCTGTCCTAGACAGACCTCCTCATGCTGAGCCTGGGTTGAAACACCTCCGGGTAGAGTGAGCAACCAGCCTTTGCGAGTAAACATCACCACAGAATCAACTGAGCCAAAAGAAAGAGAAGAAAGAGCCTTTGAGGCATCGCTCTGCCATCCACACGCCATGGCCAAGGGCAAGGCTGAGGGGCTCGAGGAGTCTAGTGGGGGCGTGTTACAGGATGGAGCTTAACAGACCACCAAGTTGGGGCAGCAGGAGAAGGCCCTGAGAAGAGATAAAGCCACGGCCACGAAGAATGAGCAAGGAGCGGGGCAGTCGTGATCAGCACTGTAGGGTAAGGAAACATGTCAGGCTTTCCTGCCCTCCCGCCATCAGGACAGATGACGGATCCCTGCGGTCCTGAATGACGCCTGATGGCGGCACCTGGAGTGGGGTGTGGGCCGAGGTAGATGGGATTCCCCTGGGCTGAGACGGGGCTTTTAAGGGCGGCATCACGAGGACACCAGCAGAAGCCGAGAAGCCAAAGAGAAGCCAAGAAGCAACAGAACAAACAGAAGAGCAGAGAAGCAGAGAGAAGGCCGGAGAGCCCAGAGAGAGTGAGGATTTGCTGGGGGCTGGGAGGCCGGCCAGCCTCCCGGCCCCCCAGCCAGCACCCCTGCCTGCCGTGTACCGGGTAAATCCCAATAAAAGACCTGCAAAAAGCCCCTGAGGACTCCGATTCCTCCTTTACCCGGTCTGCGTGGGATCAGGAAACCTGCCCAGTGGTCAGTCCTGACCCTTACAAGCACCAATAAGCGCAAAAGCATGCGGGGTGGGTCGGAGCCAGGTTGAAAGCCGACGCGCGCCTGGAGCCTCACGTCTGGCTGGCTCCGCTCCCAGCACAGCGGCCCGCGGTGGAGACGCCCAGTGCCCAGCGCCCAGCACCGCCCAGCGCCCAGCACCGCCCAGCAGCCACGGCCACTCCGCCAGGACGTGTTTTTCCTTCAAACTCCGAGGCTGCCTGCGCGGCCTGCGGATGGGCTGCCGGGCCTCGTGAGGAAAGCGCCGGCGGCGTCCGGGGCACTGAACACGCGCGCAAGCGTTACATCGGGCCCTTGACAAGCAACTTCCCGTGGCCCACACACCTGCCAGCCTCTGCTCGGGGTGACCGAGACGGACGGACGCCCCTGGCGCGGCCTCAGGACGGCGGGGCTGCCCGCTGACTGACGAGGCCCGGCGCCCAGCGGCTGCCTGAGGGGCGGCGTCTCCGCGCCACAGTGTCCGTGCAGGGCACACGGGTTGGGGCATTGGGTGAAGAAATAGAATCTGGGTGAGGTCAGGGAGGGTGGGTCCTAATTTAGGGCAATTTCCAGGTGGCCCCTCGTCGATCTCCGTCTCTCGGGGAGGGCGTCGGCCAGGCCGGGCCCCAGTGCTGCCGCCGGGTGTGGAGCCTCCCCTTCGCCTGGTCACCCGGGGAAGCTGGGCCCAGTGGGGGCCGCACCCCGCGACGGCTCTAGACAGTCAAGAGAAGCCTGAGACCACCCCCGCCCCCCATCAGGGGTGTCGTAATAACGGGCAAGCAAAGCGGTGTCCCCTGGGAAACCGTCCTCGAGGGGAAACCCTCCCGAGTGGCGAAGCACCAGGCGTGACGGGCCGCCAGGGCCGGGCTGGTGAGGGTCGGGGCGCAGGGTGGGGAGAGTCAACCGGGCCTGGTCCTTTCTCCTTAGCACCCCGCCTCGTCCCTGCCCCCGCCATCAGCGGGCATCAGTCCAGAGCTTGGCTGAACCTCATTTTAGTCCAAACATGAGGGCGGGAGATTCCCCGAGGACCCCTGAAGGAGCTGCTTCTCCTTTAAGCAGTTTGTGGAGGAGGAAATGAGGGACGGAGATGAACAATGTGGAAACCAAATAAAAGCAGAAATGGGTGAGAAACAAACGCCACGACCCCCGGAGGAGAGCGGCCCCCCTCCGCCCCTCTCCCGCGGAGCGCCCGAGCCGGGTCAGCGCTGTCCGCCTGCCAGCGAGGCCCCAGCGGCCTGGGCGCGGCCTGGCAGGACGGCCACTCTGGTGCATTTTCCCAGGCGGCCGGGCCCGGCCAGGCCGCCCCCCCGGTCCGACGGCACCCCCTAGTCACGCCTCGCCCCGACCTGCTTGTACCCCGCCATCGCAGCCAGCTTTGCTCAATCCCCTTCCTGCCCTTCGGGGCCTCCGCAGAGACCCCGAGAGCCACTAAGGCGGGGCCTCCACTCAGCGAGAACCAGGGGCTGCGACTTCAGATCTATTAGCTGCGTTTCGATAATCATGAAAAGCCTTTCCTGGCATGTTCACGATGCACAGAACAAACTCACTCACCAGCACAAAAGGGAGGAGGCCGCGCTGCCTGGGAGAGAAGAGCCTGTGGAGGCCGCGAACAAGGCGGCGAAGCAGCGCAGCGGCGGGGAGACACAGGCGTGAGCCGCCGAGGAGCCCCGAGTCCTCGAGAAAAGTCTGGGAACACGCGCGCCGGTCAGCGGATGCCTCCACTCAGCGCGGCCCCCGCCCAGCGTCCTGCTTCGAAGCAAGGGCTCGCCCGCCGCAGAGGGGGCGTTGGGCGGGTTGGTTTGGGGGTTGACAGCAGGTCATGAAAACAAAGCGGGGGGTTGCATTTATCCAGGAGGGGAGAACCCAGGCAGCAGGAACCGGAATCCCTGGGATGTGAGTTAGCGCAGCTGCGGCCCGGAGCACACTTGCCTGGATCTCAGTTCTGATCTCATGTCGCGGGGTGCTCCGGTGTGGGTTACTGGGTGCAACCACGGGGTGTTTCTCGGCAGGGGAGGGCGGCTGGGCGGTGTCTCCTGCTGCGGGACCGGGGGCCCTGCTGGGTTTGCACGAGGCCCATTAAACTTCCCGGTTTTGTTTGTTTTTCCCTCAGGGTCAAGGTTGGGAGGCGGAGGAGGGTAGCCTCAGGGACGCTGCTGCACCCCTTCTCTCATCCCAGAGCCCCCCACCAGGGCGAGGCGGGGGTGTGCTGGTGGGGAGGGGCGCCCACTGGGGAGGGGCACCGCTGGCCTGTCCACGGGGGAGGGCCGCCCCACTAGTGGGTCACTCGGGGCTGTGCAGAGACCGTGGCCTTGAACAAGGCCTGAAGACGTGGGGCAGGGCGTGTGGAGCTCAGGGAAGTGGGAGGGGTCACCCAGAGGGGTCTCGGGGTGTAGGGGCCACCCGAGGGGTGTCTCCAGCGTTGGCCTCTCCTCTGGCTGACAGACGTTTGGGCCCAGCCTGGCCCGTATGCTGAGGCTAATCCTGCTGCAGGACTGGGACTAGGCTGGGGGGGGGGGCAGGGGGTGGTCAAGGTGGAGGCCCATGGACCACCCACTTCTTGTCTGTGATCCCCACTTTTCTCAGTTTCCATGGGGCGATGGGGCCCACCCCCAGCTTTCTTGCCAGGATCCTGGGAGACAATGAAGTGGAGCGCGGGACCCCTGCCAGCCCTGGCCCGCACCTGCTCCACGTGGCCAGCACGCCCCAGCTGGAGCCCCCAAGCTGAGATGGGGCCCCCAAGCTGAGACGGGCCCCCCAAGCTGAGACGGGCCCCCAAGCTGAGACAGGGCCCCCAAGCTGAGCCCGCGCCCCCCCCCCCGCTCCCGTATGGGGGTGCGCAGCAGCGCTCAGGCTCTGCCCGGCCGCCCCGGCAGCCCCCGAGGCGCTGGCATCACTGCCCGGCCCTGGAGGGAGGCCGAGCCCCGTTTCCCGGGGTCCCCACAAAACGCGCATCTGTGAGGCGGCCGCGCCCCAGGTCAGGGGCAGCTTCCCGCCTCGCGCCCGCGCCCCGGGCCGTGGACGCCCCTCGCGGTGCCCCCCGGGCGGGCCGTGGCCGCGTGGGTCACGGGGCGCCGGCCCTTCCGGGACCCCGCCCCGCTCAGGCGCCCCCGGCGCGCGAGGAGCGGCCTCGGCCGGAGTGCGGCGCCCTCTGCCGGCCGCGCGGGGACGCGCCGGGGACCGGCTGCAGCTGCGCGCGGAGGCCCCAGAGCCCCCCAGGAGCCGCCCCTAGAGCCGCCCCGGGAGGCCCCGAGAGCTCCCCCGGGAGCCGCCCCCGAGAGCCCCTGCGAGAGCCCTCCCGAGAGCCCCCCAACAGCCGCCCCCGAGAGCCCCCCAGGGAGCCGCCCCCGAGAGCCCCCCCAGAGACCCCGAGAGCCGCCCCTAGAGCCGCCCCCGGGAGACCCCGAGAGCTCCCCCGGGAGCCGTCCCCGAAAGCCCCCGCGAGAGCCCCCCCGAGAGCCCCCCAAGAGCCGCCTCTAGAGAGCCGCCCCCCGGGAGCCCCCGCGAGAGCCCCCCCCGAGAGCCCCCCGGAGAGCCCCCCCCAAGAGCCGCCTCTAGAGAGCCGCCCCCGGGAGCCGCCCCGCGAGGGCCCCCCCGAAAGCCCCCCCCGAGAGCCCCCCAAGAGCCGCCTCTAGAGAGCCGCCCCCGGGAGCCGCCCCGCGAGGGCCCCCCCGAAAGCCCCCCCCCCAGAGCCCCCCAAGAGTCGCCTCTAGAGAGCCGCCCCCGGGAGCCCCCGCGAGAGCCCCCCCAGCCCCCCGGAGAGCCCCCTGGAGAGCCCCCCGGAGCCCCCCGCGAGAGCCCCCTGAAGGTCCCCCACCCCCCACCCCCCAGAGGCGCCCCTGCAGCACGCGGTGCCAGGGCCTGCCCAGGCACCCCCAGCCGTCTGCGGTGCGAGCCCAGAGCCGGAGCCGCGCCCACCTCGGGCGTCGCGGGCAGCGCCTGTGCCCAGCAGGCCAGCGCCCCGCGTGCCCGCAGCCCGTCCCGAGGCGCCCTGGCGGGGCCGGCCCTGCCGGGGGCTCTCGGCGCGGCGTCCGGCTCCTCCTGCCCCGCCGTCCCTCCGCGCCCGGCCGAGGGCTGGCCCTGCCGAGCCCCCGCCGCCGCCGGTGCCCACGTCCCTCCTGGCGCTGCCCGCGCGCCCCGTACTTAACACACCACTGGGCGTGTCACCCCTCAAGCTCCCGGGCCTGCAAATTCTGGGGGTGGCCACCGGACACCGCACAACGCCGGCCTCATGGCCTCCCCCGAAGCCCCTCCCGCAGCCCCCAGCAGCAGGCGGCACCACCGGCCGGGCCCCTGCCCAGCCCCTGGCCACCCGGGCCAGGAGGACTCCCCGCCGGAGCCGGGCTCGGCGCTCCCACAGCGGATCCCCTGTGCTGCTCCATCCTCACCTCACCGCAAATGGCGGCTCTGTGGCCCCAGCACGTCAGCCGCACCGTGGCTGCCCGCCACCGCGAGGAGCTGCGCAGTCACCTCCACGCCAGGGCACCTGCTGTACACCGGCCACTACGTCTGCACCGGACAGACCACAGCAGCGAAAACCAAGGCGGTTCCCAGGGTCCGTCGGGCACACAAAGCTCCGCGGCCCGGGGTGGAAACAAGCCGGCGGGTTCCTGCCGTCCAGTTGCTGCTCCTCAGCCACGGACTCGGACAGACACACAAGGCGGCGGCCCACGGCCTGGGTGCCCAGCGCCACGGAGCTCACCCGCAGGTGCCACATCGCACGTGCACACTGTGCACACCTGTATGCACACACATGCACACGCGCACACGCACACTGGGATGCACACATGTGTGCACAGGAAGATGTGTCTGCTGTCCAGCCCGGGAGGCAAGGGCCTTGGGGAACTTGGGGTCTGCCGAGGGGGTGGCTGTGGGGCCCCTGGATGGCCCCCGTGCGTCACACTAAGGCTCAGGCACAGCGCTGAGGATTCGACGGCATGTTTCGGAGGCTTTGAGGCATATTTAAGTTTTCCCTGAGGCGCTAATTTCCTCCGTGAACACGACTTTCGCGGAGCACTTCGGGGACGACGCACTGAAGGCCCACCCGCGCCGGCCCCCGCCCACACCGTGCCAGCCCTGCCGCCGCCCGCGGGCGTCTCCAGGTCGCGCTGATGCGTCACTCTGAGCCAGCCTGGCGGCGACACTTTCCTTACGCTGCGCAGAAGTGGACTGGCTCACGGGCCGCGCTGCTCGGCGTCTCGGGGCTGGGCCTCGGGCGGAGGGAGGCCCGGCGTCCCCAGGGAGGCCGTGGGCTCTAACGCCAGGTGCGGGGGGCTCACTGCCCGAAGCCCCCGGCTCCCGCTTCCAGTCTCGACGAGTCTCCCCCGGACCTAATCCGGCCAGGGGGGACGCAGGGGTTAGGGGGCCCGCGCGGCGAGAGGGGGCCGTTGGGTGTGCAGGCGGGGCAGACGGCCACCGTCTGTCTTCTCAGGGCGCTGTTTGCGGGGCTCCGAGAGCAAAGCTGCAGCCCAGCCCGGGACAGTCTGGTCAGGACAGGGGCCTGGTTGTGTGTTTTCCTTGTATGGAAGACGCAGGATTCCCATCCTCATTCCAAACAGGCTTAAGACAGGCGCACGCTTTGAATTCTCAAGGGGTCGATGTTTTCTAAATCCGGCCGTGGGCAGCCTACGTGGCCCGGCCCGCCCCTCAGCAGGACGCCGGCGGCTCCGGGCCCGAGGAGGGGTGAGCCCTTCGGGCGCCTGCCTGCCGCAGCCCGGAGCTCGGCGTCTGCAGACACACCCTCCGATCTCCTCGGAACACGCCGTCAGGACGATGCCTTGATGGCAAGAGTCCTCGTGAGTTTAACCCCAAGGCCTTTAAGGTAAAGTTTCTTTACAACCTACAGCAAAGACTCGCGGCCGAAGCACGTCTCATTTCTAAGACGAGCCCAGCGCCGCCCGCGCCCCCTCGGGGGGATGTGAGCCCACGCCGGCCTCCCCGGCTCCGAGTTCCTGACGCCCGGGGCCGGTCACCACCGGCGTGCAGGTGCTGAAAGGGGCAGGGAGGCCCAACGCTCCACGCACATGGCAGCTCGGGGAGGACAAGCCCGGAGTCCAGGCCTCCCCGCTCCTTCCCAGCAGCGCCCGGAGGTTTCCCGGCGCTTGGACCACGGAGTTTTTCCCGAGTTCAGAGGACGCGAGGCCGAGGGCGGAGATTTTAAGCAGAGCAGGTGACGTTGACGTCGCCTTCCCTGAGCGCTGGGCTGAGGCGGCAGAGGCTTCCGGACCCCGGGGCTGCCCCCCGACACCCTGTGCCCTGGGCGGCAGGAGGCCGGGCGGCAAAGCTGGCCACCAAGCGGCAGGGAAAGCCCATTCCCCAGCACAGGAAGGGCTGACCCCCTCGACCTCAGCAAACACCACCCCCTCTGTGCTGAGATGCCTCTGGAGGCCACAGCCCTGGCTCTGAACCTCCTGGATGGAGCACCACGGAGGCCGTGGGCTCGGCTGGTGATCGGGGACCCCGTGGCCGTGTGGCCTCGGGGCAGCCTTGGACAGCAGCCGCTGGTGCACACAAATGGGGTCCCAGTGCACCCCCCCTTCCTCGGGAGGCTCCCCAGTCACCCTAAAGAGCTGCCTTGGTAAGGAACGAGCTTCCCAGCATCTCAGAGCACACCTGTCCGCGTGAGCCAGCCCCCAGGCGAGCGGAGAGCAGCACCCAGTGACAGGAGGGCACACCTGGGCCTCGGGGGGCTGCCCCTCCGACTGCTGACTCTCGGGGCCTGTCAGGGAGGGCAGGCTGAGGCGACAGGGAGCCCGCTGGGCCCTCCTTGGAGGTGACGGCTCGTGGGGTCACCAGCAGCCAAGCAGGACGCCCTGCCCCGTGCCCGCTGCCTGGCAGGGCTCCCTCCTGGTGGCAGCTGAAGAACAGTCCATGGCTCGGCCGAGCCACACCCCCGTGGCCCGCTGGTCTGCCTGGACACATGGCTGTCCCCGACTGCGAGCCGTGGCCGTGGCCACAGGCTGGGCATCGCCTGCAGCACTGATTTCAAGTCTTTTGGGTAAGTCCGCAGAGGAGACTTGCCGGCTCACAGAATAGTTCCAGTTTTAATTTCCCCGTAAGGAATCTCTCTGCTCATCTCGATGGGGCTTCTGGAAACCATGGAGAGAAGTTTGCCATGATGACCTCCGGCCAGGCTGGGGGGAGTCACTGCCCTCAAGACCCACAAGCGCTGGGAACCTGTGGAGGGACCTGCTTTAGAAACCGACCGGCCTAGGTGGGCAGACAGGAGTAGGGGCCAGCCCCAGCCCCGGGGACGGCCACCCCGGCCGTCCAGGCAACACTTACTGGGAAATTAAAACTGGAACTAATCTGTGACCCGGCAAGCCCCGTTCCTTGGCGGGGGGCGGGGGGGGGAGGGTCCTTCACAGCCTCGTTCCCCGAGCAAGTTCAGCGGGAGGAGCTGAGGCGGCTCCAAGCTCAGCATCCCCAGCGGCCTGTGGCTTCAGCAGGCCAGCCAGGTCGCGCTGGTGACCCCCGGAGAAGCCCCTTCGGAGCTAAGGCTCAGGAATGCGAGCGCGCCCAGCCCGCGTCCTCTGTCGGGGTGGGCTCGATGCTTCTCCCATCGTCCTTTGGAAACAATGTCAGTGCCGACCTTCCTCCCGCTGTGACGGCGTGACGTCTGGACAGAGCCCGCCTGCTCTCCCCGCTCAGGGTGCGGCGACACAGCCGGCTGAGCGGGCTCCCCGCCCGGCCTGCCCCTGGGGTGGGGTGCTGCCTCCGCGGGTCCCCACGCCCCCCAGGGTCCCTCCCGCGGGCGGGCCCGGCTCCGTGGGCCTGGGCAGTGGCCCGCCACGCAGAAAGCCACGGCCACCCCAGAGGGCCTGCGTGCTGTGTCCACACGCAAGAAAAGTTCACTTCTAGTCAAAATGTTTGTAAAAGATGACACCTTGCCGCTGCGACAACACGGCCGGGCTGGAGGGGAGGCCCGAGTGGACGGAGCGGCCAGCCGGGGCCGAACACGGGGAAACAAGCAAAGGAACAGACAAAACCGACCCAGACGCACCCGGAAACCTGCCGTGGGACCGAGGCGCCCAAGGGAGGGGCTGGGAGGGGAGCCCCGGGGCTGGGAGGGGTGTGGGTGAGCGTGTGAGCGAGTGTGACCGCAGTGGACAAGTAATTTAATACAAAATAGAGGAAATGATGGTAAACACGTTAGTGGGGCTCTGGAAAGCTCCGGGGGAGGCAGGACTCAGACAGACAGAAGGAAGCAGCCCCGCCGGCCGGTGGCTGTGTAGACCAATCTCTCTCTCTCTCTCTCTCTCTCTCTCCTCTCTCTCTCTCTCTCTCCATCCTTTTAAAATGTACAGAAAAAAGTACAACGTGAAGCCCTGACTGGGCGGGGAGGGCGAGGCAGCACCGCTGTCCTGCGGGCCCCTCTGGTGAAGGGCCAGGCCTGCGGGGCCAGGCCTTGTGGACACACAGGGACGCACCTCCCTGGCCGGGCATTTGTGTCCACTCAGCATCACGGAGTCGGAACCATCTCCGCTGGCAGCTGCAGGTTCAGCAAGACCCTGAGGTCTTTCTCAGGCTCCCTGGGCCGGGAAGCCCCGTGCGTGGGCCAAGCGCTGTCCCCTCCTGCTGTCCACGGGCAGGTCAAGGGAACGCGGCCCACCGTCTGCGTCTCGTCCACTCACACTCAGCGAGGCGTTTCGTCAGAGCTGGTGTCCAAGAAGCCTCCGTGTAGGGTCACAAGCTTTTCCTTTTGTTGTTTAGACCACAGAGACGCCTTTCTTAACAAAAGGGGGGAAAAGAGCAAACAAAACCAGAGCTTTGCAAAGCTGGGCCATCTCTCCAGAACGGCGTGCCCGGTCTCGAAGTGGCCCCCGCCTTTGGGGGGTGGGACGGGCAGTGTCCGCTGCCAGGCCAGAACATGTGCCCCAGGCCGAGAAGTCAGACCCCCCTCCCCGGCCAGCACAGCTCAGTCAGCAGCACCTGGCCTCAGCCCGCGGGACAGGCCGCTCGGAGTGCAAACTCACACTCCTTGGGCAGAGCCCAGGGGCCGGGCGCGTTTCACCAAGGCTACCCCGGGGGCTCCCCAGCCTCACAAGGGAGGAACTTGCTCGACAGCACCACACCCCCACCCCCCACAGCCGGGCCTGGCCCCGCGCTGCAGCCGGTACCCGTGCGGGCAGGGTGCAGGGGGAGGCT